GTCATGGGTAGAAGAGGCCATCTGTAAAATGACGAGCGTTGTTTTTCTAACCCAGGCAACCGCTCCCCTTCCACGGCAGCCTTGTCAACACTGCGGGTCTTCAGGTCTGGCTTCAGGTGCCCTATTATCTGCTTCATTGCATTTGTAAATTGCCTGTGTTAAAAAGCCATAAACACAATGTGGCAGGCCTCTCCTCACATACTCAAACAGTTAGGATGTACTTTAAGGGGTTCACACTGATGATCTAGAGCCAACTTCCCCATGCAGCCAGTGCTTAGCGAGTGCCTTAGTTGTGCCCCAAACAGATCTGCAGTTAATTTTTAAGTGTCAGCATGAGCAGTTGGGGCTGATTATTTTCTCCTTGACGGAGGGTTTTATAGCGGATGCTACTTTTCGGCTCAACCCAAAAGTACAACTGGCACTTGCTCTGAAAACATGGAGAGAGGATGTTAAATAGCAACACATGCTGTCCTGGACATTCAGGATAAATATTTCCATGAGATGAGTGATAAGGTCATTTGCCCAAATAAGGCTTTCGCTTGTCCCTGGCAACCTTTGGCCATCCTCTGTGAGCTACCTCAACAGAATGTGCAAGTGCACAATTTCTCTTCCCCACTACACACACACATACTCTCTCACACACACACCACACACCACACACCACACATACGCACACAGACACACACACACATGCACACACACACACACACACACCACATATACATACACACACACACACACCACATATACACACCACACACCACACACACATACACCCACACAGACACAGACACACAGACACACACACACACACACAGACACACCACTTACATACACACACATATGCACACAGACACACACACACACACACCACACACCACATATACACATACACACACCACACATACAAACACACACACACACACACACACACACACCACTTACATACACACACATGCACACAGACACACACACACATACACACACACCACACACACACACACCACTTACACACACACACACATATGCACACAGACACACACACACACACACACACACACACACACTCGTATGCATCACATTCAGCTAAAGTGGACTTTTAAAGTTGTTCCTAGGAGCTGGGGAGACGGTGCTGTCCGTTAGGTGTCACATAAGCACGAGGACCTGAATCCCGTCCCCGAAGCCCACTTGAAAAGCTGGGCACAGTGTTGTGCACCTGAAGCCCAGCTCTGGGAAGCTGGGCAGACGGATGTGTAGAGCTCACCGGACAGTCAACCTAGCAGAATCGGTGAGTTTCAGGTGAAAGAGACCCTGTCTCAAAAAACATGGTGGTCAGCACTGAGCAATGACAATAGAGGTTGACTCCCAGTCCTGTTATGCACTCCCTCACACAAATACACGCACACACTCACACACAGAGTCGCACACGCACACAGACACACACACTACTTCTGGAACAGTGAGCTAATGAAGGGAATAAAATGATTGGTTCGAGTATATAAATTGCTCTGCAATTTGTAATTTAGTTTTGTTTACTTTCGTAACCCAGGCAGTTTAGTTCTAGAGTTTACACTTTCACCCACTAGGACGTAACTTGCAATTACTGAAGAAGTATGGTGAAGTGGAGGTCAGGCTGGAACCCCAGAACCCTGTTCTAACTGTATCTCACACCTTCCCCTCATGGTTTCCTCAGTGCTACAGCAGAGCCCAGAGTCTCTGCAATCCCAAGTGTTGAGAATACAGGCGCCGGCTTGCCTCGTGTGGGCTTTTCTATGGGACTGAGTGTTGTCAGGTAGCGTTGTCTCCTATGGCTAGAGAGCAGGAACAGAGATGACAGAGGAGATGCTGCAGTGTTTTTCATGACCTATATTATTATTATTATTATTATTATTAATTATTATTATCATATATTACATCCTAACCACAGTTTTCCCTCTCTCTTCTCCTCCCCACGTCACTGGGGGACTGTCTAGACAGGGTGGCCTGTGCATGTCTGGGAGGTATTGTTTGATCACTTAGCCAATGTAGGAAGAACTGTTGCCACTCAGGAGGTCCTGGATTCTGTCAGCCTGGAGCAACTGAGCTGAGGTCAAGCATGCAGGGAGGGGCTCTGGGCTTGCCATATTGCGTTGTGTATGCATGAAATCCAAAAGAGTAAAGAAAATTATATGGAAAGGAATCAAATGCTTAATTCTCAGCTAATAATTATTTAGAAAAACAGGATAAAACATTTTAGGGTAAAGCTAAAGAGACACATGGAAGCAGAGAGTTGGATAGAATCTTATCACTTTATTAGGCTTAGCCAATACATGACAAACTGAGTCACAGAACCAGTGTAATAAGGGTCTACCTGAGCATTGAGCACGTGGATGTCATTTACACACCTGTTTATAGTTCTTCCTTTATTCTGGAAAATAAGGACAGGGAGACATGGTGGGGGAAAGCTACTCCGTCTCACAAGACACTATTGGAAGGTGCCACTGGTTCTGAGCTCTGTGACATTAGAGAGAAGTAGTCAAAGGAACCTTCAATAGTAGACCCTGAGCAGAAGAGCTTAGGCTGCTGAGAAAAACACTGAGGGAAAAATCTTCTTCCTAATTACAGTCCTCATTTGGAAAATTGATATTTTAAAATCATCTTCAGTCACACCAGCCACACACATAAGGACGACTGAATCGTGAGGCAGACTGTCAGGTCCAGTAAGTGTTGGGAAGGAGATGGCTGAGCAGTGTTACTGGAAGCAAAGGAGAAGATGTGTTTTCATCTGCAGCCTAGACTTTTTAACCACTGGGTTGTTGAAACTTTGAGAAGGTAGATAAATCCAGTTAGAATTAACAAGAATTAGCTAATTTAGTGATGGATGTTACTTCTGTAGGTTTGCCATCTACCTGTCAGGCCAAGTTTATAGTCCATGCAAAAACAAACAAAACAGTTTATGAGTTGTGTGAAGCAGAGCCAAGCATCTCCACAGAAGACAGAGCTGAGTCCTTATTATACTGAAATCAAGGACCTATGGCATTCGCATCAAGCTCTGAGATTACCGGACAAACACCTGGCAGATTGTTCCCTCTGGTTGCCTCTGCTGTGTCCTTGTTTGCCTTTTGAATGTCCTATGAAATCAGAGATCTAGTTGGTTCACTCTGTTGAATTTTTAAGTGTTTCTCACTTCTGTAAACCCCCACAGCATTACATCATGCTGCTTGGAGTCAATCTGTCAGCTCTGGCATGAAGTCATTTGTGCCCGAGCTTTAGAAAAGTCGTCTTCTTTTCCAAGAGAGCTTTTGTCTGTGCCCTCTCCTCCTCATTTTAATAACTCATTTTCTAAGTGCATTACCTCATGTTTTGGCTGCAACCCAGATGAATCCAGAGAGAAGAAAAAAAACGTGCTTTCAGGCCGATTCATCCATATTTTATTTTACTTTTCATTAAGAAATTACTCTTTGAAGAAAATCAATAATGTTCTGTGACTGAGGGGAAGAGATGAGCGTTGCCGTGGCAATTCTAATCTCTCAAACCAGACTGCCTTCAGCCAGATGTTGCTGATGGAGACTTGTCCTCTCTTGTTCCTGCAGCTTGGACACATGGTGACCCCAGGAGAGTGGCCTATCCTACAGACAGCCAGGGACACTTTTGTGGCCAGAAGGGAACCCCCAATGAGTGAGTATGGCCACTGTGCTTTGCGTGGCTTTACTGTCTGACAGGAACCCAAACACTTTAGCACCTGTCTCATGGGATCTCTGGGGAGGTTGAGACTCAGGCAGGAGGCTGCTGCTGTGTCTTTCCTTACAGGCAGATGTAAGTGGTTTGAGGATTTTACAAGTCTTCCAGACCTAAGCCCATGACCCACTTACCTCAGACAGAGAGGTAGCACCCCAAGTTGCAGTATATAAAGACTACCCGGAGGTGATCTTGCCTGACAGATTCAAATACAATGTCTGATAAAAAAATAAATCTTAACTGGAACAGATTTCAACAACATGTGAGTGACAATTCTGGTCCATCATTTAATAAAATCTAACAGAGCCATTGGAGGAAGTGCTCACGATTGCAAAAGCTGATCCTGTTCCTATTTCCTTTTACTTGCATCTGAGTTATGATCCTGAGAATAGCATTTGCTTGTGTTTCTATGGTACTCGTTATAATCTCCTTTCCTATATCTGAATTTCCAACTTGGCTGGAGCTTACTTTTTTTCCCCAACTGCAAAACCAATTATTTAAAAATATTTTGTTGGATAATAGGATTTTTTATATTTTCAATTTCTTACAAAAGTTATTATATAAATAAACTTACATATTTTTTTGGTTCTGAACCTTAAGCCTGTATTAAGCCTTCCAGTAGCTTTTTAATGTATATCATTTATGTATTGTATGTGTGTGTGTGTTGCATGTGTCGTGTTGTGTGTGTATTATGTTGTATGTGTTCTCTCTCTCTCTCTCTCTCTCTCTCTCTCTCTCTCTGTGTGTGTGTGTGTGTGTGTGTGTGTGTATGTGTGTGTGTGTTTGTGTGTAAGCATGTATATATGGATACCCATGAGGCCAGAAGAGGGCATTTGATCCTGTCAACTTGCCACATGCTAAAGTCTTCAGAGAGGAGGGAGAGAGAAAGCCTCCAAAAAGACCCAGCTGTACACAGGCCTGTAGGGCATTTTCTTAATTAGTGATTGATGTGGGAGGGCCCAGCCCATTATGGAACCACCCCTGGACTCCTGGCCCTGGGTTCTGTAAGAAAGCAGGCTGAGCAAGCCATGAGGAGCAAGCCAGTAAGCAGCTCCCCCCTTGGCCTCTGCATCAGCTCCTGCCTCCAGGTTCCTGTCCCATGTGAGTTCCTGTCCTGACTTCCTTCACTAAACCCTTTCCTCCTCAGATTGCTTTGATTTCAGTGCTTTATCACAGAAATAGTAACCCTGACAAAGAGAGATTCCCTGGAATTGATGTATTAATTATTATAATAAATATGTGTCAATTAAAAATTTAAACAAAAAGTTATTTTAAATTATGCTTATAGATTTCATGTCAAGTGAAAAATACTTAAAGAAATTCAAACATTACTCAATGTGAAAACTTTTAGGTAAGAGGCTGGAGAGGTAGCACAGTGGTTAAGAACACCAGCTGCTCTTCCAGAGGACCCAGGTTCAATTCCTAGCACCCACATGGAGGCTGACAATCATCTTTACCTCCAGTTCTGGGGGACCCAATGCCCTCTTCTGGCCTCTGCATGCACGCCATGCATATGATACACAGCTGTGCCTGCAGGCAAGACACCCATGTACATAAAATAAAGATAAAGGTTATTATGTTTTACTTAAGGGGCTAGAAAGGCATTCAGCAGTTAAGAGTGCTTACTGGCCTTGCAGATAAATCACAAAAATTGTCTCCAGTCCCAGGGGATTGGATGTCCTCTTCTGTCCTCCACGGACACTAGGCAATGCACACAGTGCATGTGCACACATGCAAGCAAAGCGTGAGATAGAATAAAGATATACCTGAGGAAAACGTTAGAGTAAATTCATTAGAACAATCACATTATTCTAAACTATAGAACAGTAATAAAACTAGGTACAAATAAACCTAACTGTAAATACATTTTTTCAGGGTTGGTGATAAAATCCAGGGCCATGCACAAGGAGAGAGGTGCTCTACCTGAGCCATATGTCTGGCCCCTATTTACTTATTTATTTGTCTATTTTAGAATCAAGTCTCACTAAGTTGCCTATGGTGGCTTTGATCTCACTCTGAAACCCAGGCAATGAACTTGTAATCTCCCTTTCTATGCCTCTGGAGTAGCTAAGGTTACAGGCCTGTGCCACCAGATTTGGAATGAAACCAGACTTTTAATGTAATAGAGATAGAACTTCAGGTCAGTACCTGGAAAATGCATTATTAAGTAAATGACATTGAATTAAATTAAAAGCTATTCATGCAAGTAAAACTATATGTTTATAATAATTTATACGTAAAAGAACCCAGAGGTTTTTAAGGTTATATACATATCAGATAAAGACCAGGAAGTAACAGCAGCCAGGGCATATTTGGTGGTCTAGGAGCTTAGACTGGGATCCGAAAGAGAAGTGAGGAGCTGTGTGGCTCTCTGCCAGAGTCTCCTAGGTGTTTTATTTGGTTTCTCTAGATATTTCTTCAGTAAGACTTTAAAAATGTCATCCAAACAAGAAATAATGAATGAGCAGCAGGTTAGGGGGTTTCAGAGGATTCCAGATTTGGGGAAATGCTAGAAAACAATCAACAAATCAAAACTGACAAGAAGTTTCAAGCCATGTTTCATGACAGAAAGTGTAAATTGAACTTTGCTGTTGGTGAGAGGGCTCACTACCAACCAAACCCAAAGGAAGTCTCCAGCCATGTGTAAGACCTCTCGGGCCCTGATTCTGATCTCTCTGATGAAAAAAGCCAAGCACTGAACCAAAATATTTTAAAGTGGCAGGGCGGGCGGGGAGCAGACCAGAAAAGAAGTGAAGAGGCAATGCTGAGTGACGAGAGACAGAAAGAAACCAGGAAAATTCACCAAAAGGATCCTATAAATATTGGCCAAGATAATTCTGGAAGAATTCAGAATGTGAAAAACTTGTGTAACTCTCAGAAGATTGATGCAGAAATGAGTCCCAAGAAGGACGGTGAAGAATTTCTGCAAAATACAAGAAGGAAACAGAACAGCACTGACATAGTGCAGAGTCTCTGTCCAAGGGAAAACCAAGAACCAAAGCTCCCAGTGTCTGTGCAGCTGTGGGGTCTCCAGCAGGCGCTGTTTGGAGGCAAAAAGAGAAAGGTGATCAGGTTGGTTGGGAGTAAAGACTCTTCTGGGTTACACTATCATACTGTGGTCTCTTTAAGAAGTAAACAATTGGTTTGTAATATGAGAACAGTCAAGTGTTTAAAATATAAATCTAGGAAAGAAGCAATAAAAAGTAAGTAAAACTGTGGGCTAAACATCTTCTAAACATAACAGTCAAACTGAAAACGTAACAGAAATATTGAAGAATTCTGCCACTGAAAGTAAACCTCCAAAAGGGCCAGCCGTTGTGACCCAGCCCTGTAATCCTAGCACTCGGGAGGCAAAGGCAGGCAGATCTCTGAGTTCCAGGCCATCCTGGTCTATAGAGTGAGTTCCAGGACAGCAGGGTTACACAGAGAGGCCCTGTCTTAAAAGGGGGAGAAAAGGAAACCACCAAAATCTTTGTAAACAAAATTAAAGATAACTGACCATCCAAGAAAAACAAACACAAATATTCAGGAAAAAATGGAGCATGGGCTTTATGATCTGAACACAGAAATCACCAGTGAAAGGGTATTCACTCAAGGGCTCTGGGGGTGCTTTGCCTTC